GGAAATTTGGACACAGGTGTAGAGTTAGCCACAGAAGCGGGCTTTGAGGCGCACCTGCGAGGCTGCAGAAGCGGCTAAGTTGCGCGGGTGCGGAAAGCCTGGGCAGAAATGATATAAGCGAGGGTTCCGAGATTTCCACCATTTCTAACATTTTGAGCTCGGATTTTGGAGGTTTTTAAGAGGATTTTCAAGGGGATTCTTGAGGTAAGTTCCTTGTGTTCGCTTTTCTTCAATAATTATGTTTTCCCACTGATTTTCACCTAGTTGTTGTAAATTTGAGGTGAAATTTTGGGGTTTGAAGCTAGGGATTTGGAGAGTTAATTTTGGGGATTTGTATGGTCATTTGGTGTCGGATTTTAATGAATTTAGTATGACTAGACTCGTGAGTGAATGGGCTTTCGGGTTTGTGACTTTTGTTGGATTTCGAGACGTGGGCCCGGGGGCCGGCTTTTGGCCAATTTCGGATTTTGGCTTATAATTTTGTATTTTTCTTGTGGAATTGATTCCTTTAGCCCGTACTGATTGTATTGTACTTCTTGTGGCTAGATTTGGGATATTTGGAGGCCGACTTGCGAGGCAAAGGCATATTGGAGTAGAGTTTTACTCGAATTGAGGTAAGTAACAGTTCCAGAATCTGAAACTGAGGGTATGAAACCCCGGATTATGCGTCATGTGATTGGTTTGGAGGTGATGCATATGCTAGGTGACGGGTGTGTGGGCGTGCACCGTAGGAATTGTGACTTGGTCCATTCCGTGGAACTGTAAAGTTGAATAACTTGTTGTTAGCCATATGCTCTCCCTATGTTATAGAAAATTTGACTGCTAATCATGTTAGAAATCATGTTTAGGCTATGTGTTGATACTTTTGGGACCCGGAGAGGTCGTGTACTTGTTGAATTATTTGCTAATTGTTGTCTTGTACTCAACCACGATTTTACTTGTGTATCATATCTCAGTCTCTTCTTGTTTCTTGTTGATACACTATGTTATTTCTGTTTGGGTTGATCTTTATAATTTCTGAGAGCCCGAGAGACCGGAGAGGTTGGTGACTGAGTTAGGGCCTGAGTGCCGAGCTATGAGCTATATGTATATATATGGATCGAGTTGCTTACTGAGTTGCGTATCATAATATATGTATTATTGTTACTTACTGAGTTGGTTGTACTCACGCTACACCATGCACTTCCTATGCAGATCCAAGTATTTTTGGACACGGTGGGCATTGATATCGTGCACGGTTGATCTTTGGAGATTACGAGGTAGTTGTGCGGCGTTCGCAGTCCTTGTTTCTCCTTCCTTATCTTCTTTTTTTCATTTGTATTTTGATTCAGACTTTCGTAGACATTTCTTTTCTAGATCGGTGATGTATAGATGCTCATGAGCTCAGTGACACGCCGATTCGGGAGTTATTTTCCGCATTTGTGTTTTGGGTTTTTCCCCCGTTTTATGAAAACTGCGGTTATTTAAAATTTCTAATTATCTTTCTGTTAAATGTTGGAAGTATTTTGGAAATGTCGGCTTGCCTAGTACCACGATAGGCGCCATCACGACAGGTTAGGATTTGGGTCGTGACAAAAATGAAGAGTTTAAAGTTGAATTATTTTTAATTATAAAAATATATCATTCTTTTTTAAAAGGACTAATAAGAAAAATGTATCATCAAAATGGAAACAACTCTGTCTATACGGACAGACCTTAAGTCAATGAAAAAGGCAATCAACATGTAAAGATAATATCAGTTGCATCTTCGACAAAAATGGCAATGATGGCAATAAAATCGTTTTCTTTGTAAAAGTATTTAAGAATCCTCCCTAACAAAATATATTACACTTTCTTTTTATACAAAATACATAAAGCGCCCCTTTAAGTTATCTTCAACAATCAACTGAACACTTCAACTGAGGTTATTTCCAGCTAGATACTTTATTTATTCACAAAAGAAGATCAACTAAACACCCGATCATGTCAGCCCCCATCGTGTGAAATGTACTCTCTCGGACGCGAGTTGCCTACCTAAAATTAGGTTTTTTCTTTTTTTTTTCCTAAAATAATATGGACCCCACCTAATTTTCACATCTCCTTCTCCTCTCAAAATCAAATCTGGGTTTCTTTGATGGAGGAATGAGGCGAGGAACAAATATATCCAATTACATTCACATGATGAATCCTTCCAATGGTAGCTACTTCATTCATGAAATCTTGTCCTCTACCAGCTTTAGGCTTTCTCAACATCTTCACTGCTACATCCATGCCACTGCGAAGCCTT